ATAGCAAGAAATCACTCTTTAGCTGATGGATTGGCTGCTCCCTATTCCATCTAGTAGGCTTGTCTTCACTATAGCACTAAATCAACACAGCTGTGATCAATGCAGCAGCATCGATTTAGCAGGTCTGGAGAAGCCATGATAAATCGGTGGCAGAGTGCCTCCCATCAACCTAATTTATCCACCTCAATAAGAGGTGGAAGCTGTGTCAATGGGAGAGCATCTTCTGCTGACATAGTGTGGGGTAGACATTGTGTTATGTCAGTGTAAGTTATGGCACTCGGGGCATATCTACATTGGGGCATTATTTCGAAGTAACTCCCCTTTATTTCAAAATAACCAGGTGAGCGTCCACACTACCAAGCCCGTTATTTCAAAATAAAGGGCTTGTAATTTTGAAATAACTACTCCTGCTTTGGAAGAGGAATAGCATTATTTCAAAATTGTTATTTCGGGAGTTATTATTTCGAAATAACTTATTTTGAAATAACTCCCTAGTGTAGATGTGCTCTCAGGGAGCTGCTTACATCCCTGAGTGATGTAACTTATGTCTACTTAAGTGGTAATGTAGATAAGGAGAGACAAAGGTTAGATGCGTGAACTAAATAGAGACTCATTTCACATTGGCCAAGCTGGCAGGCATCAGCTGGGAACTCTTCACCTGAGCTGGCCTTAGCTTGAACCTGTGATTTTAACCTGAACAGCAATTGTAATGCTTTATCTGAGCTGTCCAGACTCTCCTAAAAACTAGAGGACATTAATATTAACATATTAAAGAGCCCAGAATTAGCACTATAGTTATTTTGCCCATTTCTACAGATTTTTACAAGATTACAATGGGAAATATTTGATCCCATGGCTGCCCGGCTTCCCCTTGGATCAGTGGTGTTCAGGGTGTGGAAGAAGTTTATATATTTCTGAACCTACCTTAGCAACAGCCCTGTGTGCTCTCTTATTGAAAGTTATAATGCAACTCGATTCACACTGATATGAACCAACCCTGTGAGCTGTACCACTGTCACGAGGCATAGTGTTCTCAGGCAGAGGCCTTTAGGCAAATAAACAGCAACTCCCAACCCACTCGTAAAGCTTTATGACACTTTTATTTCCAAGAGTGCTGCTGGTGCAGTTAAAAACCGTATCTAATTCCATGGAGAACTTGTCGAGAGCAGGGGAAAAAAGTGTGTTCTTAGCACATGTTGGCTAACGTGGTAAAATCTTACTGAAGACAAGGTAGCTGCAGCTTTAACACTCCTTACCAGGCTGTACTCTGTGATCAACTTAAAAGCCACCTACAACACAGAGGAAGGCCAAAGCTCTGATACAGTGACAAGTTCAAGCAAGGCTTTGAGAAATTCAGCATCTCCACTGACAACCGAGAAAATCCTGCCCAGTCTGGAGAAGCCAGGGTAAGAGACTGGTGCAGTCACCATGGAACGCCATCAGAGAACCCAAGCAGAGGCCGGCAGGGGAGCCAGGAAGGAAATTGTGCTCCAATCTCCATCTGACCAGTGGACCTATAGCCACTGTGGGCAGGTTTGCCGCTCATGCATCATGCTCTTTCCCCATCCCATTACTAAGCACCACTGACAGACTGATTTTGTCACCCCTCCTTTCATCTGCCAAGATATTGCACAGCCATATTACATGTGATTAATCTCTGGCAAAAAATAGCAAAAAACCTAATAGACTCTCCATCTCTTGCTGTCTTCAAATCAAAGCGGGAGGTCTTTCTGAGAGACATGCATAACAAGTGGGGTTCGGCAGGGGTCAGTTTTGGGACTGTTCAGTATCTTTATCAATGATTTAGATATTGACATAGAGAGTTCACTTATTGGCTGTGTCTACACTGCACCCCTTTTCCGGAAAAGGGATGCAGATTAGACACTTCGGAATTGCAAATCCGCGGGGGAATTAAATATCCCCCGCGGCATTTGCCTTTACATGGCTGATGCTTTTTTCCGGCTTGGGGATAAGCCGGAGAAAAGTGCCAGTCTAGATACGATTCTCCGGAAAATAAGCCCTTTTCAAGTAGGAATAAGAAATCCTCCGGAAAAGGGCTTATTTTCCAGAGAATCGCGTCTAGACTGGGGCATTTTT